TATTTCACCCAATCTTATTCAAGGCAGGGTCCAAAACCTTCCTGTGGGGAAGAGCTTCTTCCCATTTCCCTAAAAGATTGAGATCTGGGGACCACTTCCTAGAATGACACAGGTCCCATTGAGTCCCAGAGGATGGGAGAGCAAGGTGGAAGGACACCACTACCAGTTTCTAGAAACCTCAGCTGCTGACAGAGAGAGGAGAAGGAGTCAGGATGACCTGTGTATGTTTGTCAAAGTGATTTTGAGTAATTAGATGGTGTCCAGCTCCCTGTAAATTGTCCCCACCAAGTTTCATTGGTTCCCAGGGCACACCTCACTTATGCTCAAGACTGAGTCCATTCCCACAGCAGCCCTGCCATTTCACTGACCAGCAGCCCTCTCCACACTCCTCTGCTGAGCTGACCCATCCTCCTGAGCCTGATTTACACAGCTGCTCCTGCCATGCCTGCAGCCATGCTGCCAGAGGTCTGAGCAATGCCACTGCCCCTGCTTGATTGCTGGGCACAGCGTGCACAGTGGGCTATCATTTGTTGGACACATAAATGAAAACTACACTATGGTGCCCCCCAGGCCCAGCAGCCCTAGATGAGGTGTAGTGGTAGGAGGCAGAGCTGGAGAGAATGGCTCCTTCCCTTTGCATTACAGGGATAACTTGGAGGCCCAGAGGCCTCACCAGCCTGCAGAAACGAAGGAGGCCACAGCATCATTCAGACACACATTTTGCTGGCTCAGTACTGCACCATCCCTAAGCTAGGTAACTGCAGGGCTCAGAATCATCACAAGGTCTGCCCTTGGCATCTTTGAGAGTCCCAGCATTGTCTCATGTGTGCTTCTGCATCCACCCAGGCCTCTGCTCATGCTGCCTCCTCTGCTCTGCCCTGGACATCACTTGGGCAGATGCTCTCAATGCAGGGCTTTCCTCTGACTGCCTCTTAATGTTCTACTGGTTAGTGCCTGTGCCTCTCATATTGGGCCCTGTCTTCTTACTCCTAGGAGGATAGAGAAACTAATCTCCCTCCGCTATGCTGTCCTCCTAGAGGGGAGTCACAGCAGGACTGCTCAAGTCCTGAGGTGGCACATTATTTAGAGAGATCGTTGTTTCACTTATGTCTACAGATACGTCCAGACACTGGACCCAGAGCCATGACCCATCAGTATCACTCGGACTCCGAGCTGAGTCTCCTTGTTGATTTCAGGTTCTTTCATTTATTCGGCTGCTACTTACTGAGTTCCTACTGTGTTTGAGGGACTATGATAGTAACTTGATATATTAATTTCCTATTGCTAATGTAACAAATCACCACAATTTTAGTGGCTTAAAACAACACACATTTATTATCTTACAGTGTTGGAGGTCAGAAGTCTGAAGTGGATTGGCAGGCCATTCTTTGGGTGGCCTTAAGGGAGAATGCATTTCCACGCCTTTTCCAGCTTCTAGAGGCCACTCACATTCTTTGGCTCATGGTCCTATATCATTCCAACCTCTGCTTCCATCATCACATCTCCTTCTCTGACTCTGACCTTCCTGTTCCCTCCCACAAGGACCCTTGGGATTACATTGGTCCCACTTGCATAATCCAGGATAATCATCCAAAAACTTGAACTTAATCACACCTGCAGAGTCCCTTTTTCTGGGTAAGGAAGATAACATATTCACAGGTTTCAGGGATAAAGATGTGGACACCTTTGGGGAGCCGTTATCCTGCCTACCACCTTGAGTATCCATCCAGTTGAATGGATTCTACCTCAGAGATGCATAGTCTTTTCCTGTAATTTACTTACTGGCATTCCCCCTTTCTCTCCCAGTTTGCCAGACACACTCATACGTGAACCTGAAGCATGGACCTAGTTCAAGTTCTTTTCTTAGGAGCTGCTTCTTCATCCCCTTTGTAAATGAGGATGAGAATATTTATTCTTCTTGGGGAGCCCCTCCGCCCTCAGAGGTAAGGCCTCTGGCTCTCCTTTTGGTATCATAGAGAGAACTCAGATATTCAGCTAAGGATGTTGAGTCCATGGTACATGTGTGTACATCCAGGTATAATCCTGGATAAGTTTCCTGTCTCTTCCATTTGCCCCTCCAGGCCACTCTCCACCCTTCTCCACCCTGCTCTGTGCACCAGGCGGCTGAACTCCATGAACCACATTGAGCACTCTTGTCCTCTGGCTTTCTGTTGGGTTCAGCCAATGGGAGCCCCGGCAGGAGATTGGAGGGTAGAGGAGAGTGAAGGTAGAGTATGCCATCCCCTGACTCCCTCCCTGTGGGGTTGCCCTGGACCACTAAATCCCTCATTGAAGGGCTCAGCTCCTGTTGGGTGGCCCTTTCCACACAGGCCCCTCTGGGTTGAGGCAACTGCTCTTTCCTCCCAGACTTTCAGGCCTAGGGATGTTAACAGCTTGCTGTCACCAGCCCCTAGTTCTGCACCATCTCTTGTGGTTTTCCTAAACCCTGCCCACATCTTTGTAAAGATTCTTCATTAAACTTTTCTCAAATTGTCCAATTTGAGTGTGTCAACCATTTTCTGATGAGATCTTGACTGTTACACATTCCAAAATGTAACTCGTGTCCCCCAAGCTTCCCTGGCCTAAATGATCTCCCAATATAACTGAGATCTAGACATTGGCAGCTCCAGAACCCCGCACCTGAGTCACTGCAGGAACTCAGTTCCCTGTCAGAATTCTAGAATTCCTGAGTCCCCAGGGATCAGCCACAACTGGTCACTCCTCATGTTCCCTCCATGCCTCCAATGCCCACACCAGGGGCCAAGCCATCACCAACAGAATAGACCTGCCCAGTTCCTTGGATCTAGGCTCTTCCTGAGACCCAGAAGCCCCCTTGCCTTTGGATCTATAAGGCCACCCAGTACTCCTCTCCAAGCTAGATGGAGCTGGCTTTGGTAGGCTATGGATAAGTGAGGCAAAGCCATGTGACCCTGAACCTGACTCAATCTATACATGGGTGCACAGATTCCTTATTTTCTGATCAACCATTTGCCAATCTCTCTTCTGCACCAGGAACCCCCTTCCTCTGGTTTACTGAGAAAATGGAGCCATGGGCAAGAATGTCTTGACTCCCCACCCCACTCCACCTTACAGACACAGATATAACCACTTTCCCATTCATCCTCACTGCCTTCCTCTCGTCTCAGAAGAAATATTTCTCTTTCTGCCCAAGGCTCATCTCTGCTTCTTGGCTCTTGGTGTCACCCGCTCCTGTCTGCTCTGAGAGCTGCCTCTGTGCAGTACAGGGTGCTAACTCCTCTTTCGCACATCTTCAAACTCTCCTCTATGAATAGACTCCTCTTGGCCTGTAAATATTCTCAAAGTTCTCCCAACTTAAAAAGAAAAAAAAAAAAGCCCTCCTTTCTTCTGGATTTAGCTATTTCTGCCTCTCTTTCCTTCCCTTCTCCTCTAAGTTACTCAAAACAGTTGTCTTACACTTCCAGCTCCATATCCTCGCTTCTCATCCTCAACCCACTGCAGTTTGACTGCAGCCCTTCTGGGGCCATAGGAACTTCTTAAATGCCAAATACACTGGGCACCTTCCATCCTCATTCTACTGGATTTCCCCACTGCATTTAACCATTAATGGCCACTGGAGTCCTCCATCTCCTCCCCCAAGGGCAGGGTACCTGTAGCAGAGACTCTGAATCTCCCTCCGGGAGCTCCTTGTCCTCATTCTTTTTTTTAAACACCCCCTCAAGTTGTAACACAGAACACGGCTGCCCCACTAGACTCTACCTTCCTCAGCCTCCTCCACAGCGAGGTGTGGCACCATGAGTCCTTGCCAATAGGATGTGAGTAGAAGCAATGTGACAACTTCTTGGTCTTACCTTTGACACTGTGGACCCAGAAATGGGAACCTCATTTTAATGACAGTAACATCAACCCACCAACCCAGATCTTAGGTGACTCCCTGGAACAGGGCTGCCCCTGCCAGCCATATCCGGACTTTTCACGTGAGAAAAATAAACGTATATCTCATTTAAGCTAATATATTTTGGAGCATTTTGTTATAGCAGCTTAGCCTGTGCTCCAAGTAATAAAGCATTGACTTAAGAGCAGGCCATCCATGACTTTTTAAAACCTTCTCCTCCTCGAATCTAATTTAGGTCCTCCTCTTCTCCTTCAAAGCACATATCACAAGTTATAGTTAAATAATTATTGGTGGAATGTAGTGGTGCCTCTTGATTGCCTTCCCAACAACTGTCTCCTATCCCTTCTTTTTATCTCACAGAACCCTGATTTTATTCAGGTATTCCTGCCTTCCTTATTCAGACTCATGCTGCATAAAAAGATGAGCTTAGGCCAATCAGATTCTCCCTTAGATCTGAACTAAGAAACAAATAATGAGCTACTTATCGAAAGGATCTAAGATGGAAAGTTCACAATGTAGAGGAAGCCAGTGAGGCTACAGTGGACCATGTACAAGCCAAGGTGCTTGGGAAACCAAAACTAAGAATGAGAGGGGCCAGCAGGTAGGAAAGATGCAGGTATGTGAGGTGCAGGCAGATGGCACCAATGATGACCTGCACATGGTGTCTGCTGAGGACCTGCAGCCACCTGGATCCAGGACTGTCTCCCGCTTCCAGGCTCTGCTCTGGGCTTCCCGTAGCCAGCATCTACAATTATACCTACAATGCATCGTCTTTTCCCTGAGCTAGCAAGAGTGCACACCTGCTTCTCAGAATCAAGCAAGCCTGAATAAAACAACTTTGGGCAAATCATTCAACAAATATTTTTTGAACACCTACTCTGTCCTAGGCACTGTTTTATGCCCCGGGGTCCTAGGGAGAACAGGACGGGCTGCCCAAAGCATCTCGCTGAGGAGCAAAATGAACTACGTCACTCCTCTGCTTGTTTATATTTCTTCAGTGGCTTCCAACTGACCTCAGAATAAAGCCCAAAATCGTTATGGCTTACAAGGCAACCTTGCATGATCGGGCCCCGGTCTACTTTTTGAACCTCATTTCTCAGTTACTCCACTTCTCTTCCACTTTCAGGTCCCCAGCTGCTGCCTCTCTCATGCCTGCAGGACTTCACACACACTCCTCCATCCATCTGAATGTGGTAAGCAAAGGTAAGAGGCAAGGATGTGGATGGTGATGATGATGATAACACAACTACTTATCGGGCATTTATATAGACTTTACGTTATTGTTCTTAATCTCCACAACAATGTTGCAAGCTAGGTTCTGTTTTCCTCATTTTACAGATGAGGAAACCGAGGCTTCAGAAGTTCAGTAACTTGCTTCAGATCACATTTAGGAAGTGGAGAACCAAGATTTGAATCCAAGCCTGTTTGACTCTACAGGACGGGCTGTCTAGGCCAGCTGTCATCTCTTTGCCATTCTTTAGAACTCAGCTTCTGGAGGCAGACAGACTGGGGTTTGAATTGCGGGCTCCACCACCTCCTAAGTGGGTGGCCTTGAGCTAGCCACTCAATCTTGCTGAGGCTCAGTTTCCTCATCTGTAAACTGAGGTCCCCAGTAGAACGTATCTCAGAAGGTTATTGTGAGGTTAAAAGGAAAGAACTCACGGGAAGCATTCGGCATGGTGCCTTGCCGGCTGCATTCAATGAAGGTAGATACTACGGTTTCATTATCAGCACTACTATCTTCTTCACTTAGGCAAATAGCTCCCTCTGCTTTGCCTTGTCCAGGTCGGAGTTCTGCATCTTGTCACAGTCACAGCCTAGGTGCTGCTTCCCCGCAGGGCCTCCTGGGGCCAGGCCTACACGAGTGCGTGGAAGTTAGCTCCGGGGCCAGAGGGATGGCCTGTAATTGATCCCAGTTAGAGCTGGGCAGGCCCTGTCTTCCTCAGCTGGGGCCCCAGGAAGCAGAGCGCTGTCTGATTTATGTCCCTGCTGCACGGAGGATGACCTGGTGCCCTCTCTACGTGTCCCAGCATCAGACAAGGCCATAAAATGGAATTGGTGCTGCACGTTTGTTCCTGTCAGGGCTGATGTGTACTCTGCTGCACCCAGCTTAGGTCAATGCCCTGCAGGACCCTCCCTGGGAAAGGTTGGTGTGTGTGGCCCCCTGTGCGGTCGGGCTGCTGGGAGTTCAGGGACATGTACGGAAGGAAAATCACAATCTCATATGCTCTCATGGCTTCAGTGACCATCAACTTGTGAATGACCCCTGATGCGCATCCTGAACCTACAGCTATCCCAGCCTCAGACCCAGGTAACCAGTGGCCTGCTGGACACCTCCTCTCACATGGCCCACAGGCCTCCCCACCTGAACTCATCGTGTTCACCTCTCCGCCTGGTCTTCTCCCCTGATTGATTGGCACCACACCCAGGCTGAGAAAGCCGCTTCCTCCCTGGCCTGGGGCAGCATCTTCATACACCTCTTTATAGCTCTGACCTCCCTGTTTTGTAATTAGGACAACTTACTGCAGGTTTTACCCTTATCGGTGTCTCTGTCTGTTCCTCCAATAGACTGTAAACTCCCAGAGACCTGATTCATCTCTGTACCCCCAGTGCCTAGAGCAGAGCCTGGCACAGAGGACATGCCATAAACCAGTGATGAATGAATGAGTGAATGGATGGATGGATGGATGAATGAATGAACATAGATGGATATCCTTCAAGTTTTGTTTTAGTTTTTGTTTTGTTTTGTTTTGCTGAGGAAGATTATCCCTGAGTGAACATCTGTGCCACTTCCTCCAGTTTATATATGAGTGGCCACCACAGCATGGCTGACAAGTGGTATAGGTCTGTGCCCGGGATCCAAACCTGCGAACCTGGGCCACCAAAGTGGGGCATGCCAAATTAACCACTATGCCACAGGGCCGGCCCCTCAAGATAATTTGTGTGTGTGTGTGTGTGTGTGTGTATAAGACTGGACCTGAGCTAACATCTGTGCCAATCTTCCTCTATTTTATGTGGTGTGCTGCCGCAGCATGGCTTGACGAGTGGTGCTAGGTCCACACCCAGGATCCAAACCTGCAAATCCCAGGCCGCTGAAGTGGAGCATGCGAACATAACTACTACACCACTGGGCCAGCCCCAAGATAATTTTTTTTTGTTTTTTTTAAAGATTGGCACCTGAGCTAACATCTGTTGCCAATCTTTTTTTTTTCTTCTTCTTCTTCTCCCCAAAGCCCCCCAAAGCACAGTTGCATATTCCAGTTGTAGGTCCTGGTTGTCCCATGTGGGACGCCACCCCAGCATGGCCCAATGAGCAGCGTGAGGTCCACGCCCAGGATCCAAACTGGCAAAACCCTGGGCCATCGAAGTGTAGCGCGCAAACCCAACCACTTGGCCACAGAATTGGCCCAAGATAATTTTTAACTAAAGAACAGGGCTTCTTAAAAGACACCCCTAAATTTCCACAGGGAATAGAGAAATTAGATTTTAGCATCTTAGAGCCAGATTAACCTTATTAATTTCAAACTCCGATATTTTCCCTATACAGACGACTGGGACCCAGAGGGGTTAAATAACTGTCTGAAGGTGAACAGTGACTTAGTAAGAGCCCCTGGACTAGCCCGCAAACCTCCTAACTTTATAGTTTGCAGCCTTTTCCTCTCTTTCTACATGCTGAGCTTAAGCGAGCTGTTCGCAGACTCCAGAGCTTGGCTTCCAAAAATAGACGATAGAAGGCAGAGAGTATTCTAGACTATTCTATATCTACAAGGTCTTATTAACAACAACGTGATCCACAGCAGGAGAATTGAGATGAGCTTCTCAGAAATTTCCAGCTCTAATAGCAAATATAAGACTGTATGACTTTGTGGGCCTCGTCCTCTCTAAGCCCCACTTTCCTCCTCTGCAAAATGGGAACAGTAAGAGCAGCTGCCCTGACCTAATGCATGCTTTCTCATTTGAGGCTCTTGCGGTGGGTTGCATTATTATTCTCAACTATTTGCTGGGCTCTCAGTAAAAGGATCACCCATCTCTGCCCATTGCAATGAGACCCGCAGTGCCTGTCTATGGGGGGAGTATACCTCACTGCCCCGAGGTGTCAGCCTAGGCCACTGGCTTCCTTTGGCTAATGGAAGGTGAGTAGAAGTCACATATGCCACGTCCCAGGAGAAGCTTTAAGAGCCATTGCAAGGTTCAACCACAGCATTTTTCCTTCCTTCTCTAGACTGGTCTGGGGGGCTGCTCCTTCAGGCTGAGACACAGAAGGTGAAGACGTATGGAACAGGACCTGCAGCTGTCATGTACCGTGAGTGAGAAATAAACCCTCGTTGTTGTCAGCCATTGAGATCGTGGGATGGTTTCTGCTGCATAGCCTAACAAATGCTGACTAATAATTGTTTGCTTATAATATAGACAGACTCAGGGCTGGTCCAGTGGCGTAGTGGTTAAGTTAGTGCACTCCACTTCGGTGGCCTGGGGTTCACAGGTTCGGATCCCGGGCACAGACCTAGCACTGCTTGTCAAGCCATGCTGTGGTGCTGTCCCACATTAAACAGCAATTTTCCTCAAGCAAAAAGAGGAAGATTGGCAATGGGTGTTAACTCTGGGCCAATCATCCTCGTGAAAAGAAAAAAATATATATAGATAGACGGACTCATTTGGGACATCTTTAAAGGGAGGATGGGGTTTGTGATAAAGATATCCACAAAATGCATCAAATCCCAGGCAGTCCTAGGGCTAAGTATTGATTAGTGGTCAAGGTGAGTTACCATAATAGAGAGATTCCAAAATTTAAGTCTTAAATAAGATACCATTTACTTCTTTCATAAAACAGTGTAGAGGGAAGTGGCTGATCCAGGGTTGTAAGGCAGCTTAGCTCCATGAGGTTGCCCAAAGATCCAGCTTCCTTCCAACCTGCTGCTCCTGCCATCTTGCATGCTTTTATCCTCATCTGCACCATGCCCAGCTTCCAGCCCGCATGAAGGAGGAAAGAGAGAGATGATGGACGACCAGTGTGTCTTTTAAGGACGTACAGAGAAGTTGCCCACATCTCTTCTGCTCATAGCTCATTGACAAGATCTTACTCACATGGCCACAGCTAATATAAGGAGGCTGGGCAAGTAGTTTCTAGCCAGGTGGCCACGTGCCTTGATGAAATGCAAAGTGGGCTTCCCACTACTAGAAGAAAGAAGGGGATAATTCAGTGGTGTTCCGGAGCTGGCTCATTGTAGGCTCATGAGAGCCAATTGCAAGTGTTTTGTCCCCAGTTCTGTGTTCATTAACATGACCTGAAACCAGCCTGAGGGGGAGAGTTTACACCACAGGAATTGGCAAACGCTAGAAATCTGGACTTCCGTACCCCACCCCACCTTCCAGAGAGCCAGTGTTAACATCTGCCAGAACTGAGGGTAAGGGATCCTGGAAGGCAGTTAGCAGTCTCTGCCACGGTCAGGACGTGTTTTCTTGGCATCTCTGCTGCCTTCTCCTCTCACTCCTGACCAGCTTCCTCAACTTCTGTCCACAAGAAGTCCTCCCTGGTTCAAATTCATGAGGGCAGCTCATCTATTCTTGCCTCTTCCTTGCTCCAGATTGAAGCCAGATGCCCACACTTGGGCTACTCAGCTATGACCAGGAGTGGAGGAGCTGGATGGGGATGGTGCACAAAGCTGCCTTCAGAGGGGCTGTGGGCAGGACCGGCAACAGAGGCAGACACCGCGTGCAGCTTAGGAGTGAAAGCTCTTTCCCCACCCCTACCACAGAGGTTAGCTTGCAGGAGACTCTCCTTACGCAGTTTTTCTAATATTCCTTTTTTTTTTCTTGGTGAGGAAGATTGGCCCTGAGCTAACATCTGTGCCCATCTTCCTCTACTTTATATGTGGGACACCTGCCACAGCATGGCTTGATAAGCGGTACATATGTCCTCGCTTGGGATCCAAACTGGTGAACCCCAGGCCACTGGAGCGGAGCACGTGAACTTAACCATGGCACCACTGGGCCAGCCCCTAATAGTCCTTTTTTAAAAAATGTTTTTATTGAAGTAAAATACACGTAAAATCTACCATCTTAACCATTTTTAAGTGCACCAAGCAGTGGTATCAAATACATTCATAATGCTCGCAACCATCCCCACCACCCTTCTCTACATCTCTGGTATGCCTTTTGTACCTCATGTGATTAGATGCCCTAGTTTAATGAGAGATGCACTTGCTGAGGTGGCAAGAGACCTCCGACTGAGGCACAGCTGTGCGCTATAACACAAGGGCACTATCTTATGGTATAGACAGCACAGCAGTGATTTGCAGGAGACCTGAGGCCCACACCCGAGGATCTAGGAAAGGTGGCTGGATGAGTAAGGGCAAGACAGTCCAGAAGGAAATTAAAAACATGGACTTCAGAGTCAGACAGAACCCAGACCCAGCCCTGTCCCTTGGTGACCTTGCGCGGGGTTCACCTAACACCACGGTCTTCAGAAACGCTGTGGCTTCTGTGTCTGAACAATTCTTCCCTCTCTTTGTCTGACAAGTGCCTCACGTTCTTCAGAGGCCTCCTGTCTAAAAGAGGGTCTCTCCATGATTCTCTCACAGCACCCCGGTTTTCTTTTCGTAACACTGGTCAGATTTTTATTATATATTTATCTACTTACCTCCTAGTTTTTCATCTGTGTCTGCACTGATCTGAATGCTCCGTGTTAGTTGTGTCGCTCATTGTATCCTCAGCGCTGAGCCCAGGCCTGGCCCTAAGAGGCCACTCAATAAAAATTTGTTAAATGAGTAAATGAATGAACGAGGAAAAGAATGAATTAAGTTAGTCAACTTTTCTAAACCTGAACTGTAAAGAAGAGAGTATTTAAAATCAAATCCAGTGAGGCAGGGACAGGAACACGTCAGAGAGCGTGCCAAGCGCTCCAGCCCAAGTTCTAGAGCATGAGTGTGTCCGGCGGGGGCCCTGCTGTGCCAGGTATTAAACTTTTCGTTTCTGGGTGGTGCAGAGGTCTGGGGGGGTCCCAGGGGAAAAACCAGAGTGAAGGGGAGCTGGAGGGGCACTTAGGGGACGTGGAGCTGCTGTCAATAAAAAAAACAGTTCACTAAATTAACAAGCATTTGAGGCTGCACTGGGGCAAAGCAGCTAAATGTCATCCCTGTCTGTGAAATGAAGGAACTGATACCTAGCCGGTCCAAAGGGGTGCTGGGGAGGTGACATCGATCACTTCCGTGACAAGCTAGAGAGGCAGGGCTGAGGTAAAGAAATCACCAGAAGCTTAGAAAATTGACAGAAATGGCTGCACTTCACCTTCTTGCTCCCCACTCCAACTTCCAACCCCAAGAGAGATAGACAAGTCCTAACAACCAGTTCCAGGTGTGGGGGAGAAATCCAGTTCAGTTCAGAAAGAGCGTCAGTGTCTGAGGAATCGCGAATGTGAAAGAACAGAGCAGGACCGGGTGGCACAGAGACTGGCTCTCCAGCAGACTCCTCCTTATCTAAGGAAAGTTAGAAAGAGGGATCCCTCCCATGAAAGGCCTGGCCAGGCCCCCTCACTGGTGTTCAAGACCCTACACCCTTTCCTCCTCTCTGTGCTCCTAAAATTCTCTGAACCAAAAGCTCATTCAAAGTAGGACAGAGGCTCCAGAGCTGGGCTGGGGGTCTTTGGTCTCAAGACTCCGGATCAGGACCCTTGAATTTGCTTCTCCCTGAGCAGCCCGGAAACGGACCTCTTGAGCATGGGACAACCAGATGCTGTGGGTACAGCCTGCCTTCCAGGCACCAGGTGAAAAGAAGAGATGCCCAACATCAGACTTCAACACCAAGAGGAATTTACTAGAAGGATGGAGGATGTGTCACAGAATCCAAGGTTGGGGACAGCGATAGGGAGGAGATCAGGAACCTCAGCGCCCTGAGAAATCCAAGCACTGGCTTTTCTTTTCTTTTTCTGCAGACTGACTGGCTCTTCTTGGTATGCACGGTGGGAAATGTCCACGGCCAACAGCTCCTGTGTTTACATCACCTTCGTTCAAGAGCACAGCCAGAGTCAGGCAGCAAGGCTTCAGCTCCATTCCAGCATCCTGGAGATGGGATGTGATTGGCTCAGCTTGGGCCAGGTGTTCTCCCTGACCAATCGTCTGTGACCTGGGGGAGGGGCAGAATCACAGGTGTGTTTGGCTCTTCTTCTCTCCGCCCTGTGGATACAGGAGGTGTGGGACCATTCCTAGAAAACGGACACTGGGCAGGCGGTAGACAGAAGGTACCATCTACGTGTGGTTTGTCCACTGTCACTCAGCCAGAAAATGGCACACCAAGTCTAAATTCTTGGACTGCTACGTTCTTTCCACTTTGTTCCATTTCAGCGTTATGAAATGAAGGTCATTGTGCCCAAGGGACGTCAGAGGTGAGGACCAGAGCCTTAGATTGCAACGAGGGTTCGGAGAGCTGAAGGCAGTGAGTAGAACAATGCTTCCCAATGCGGGCCTCCCTGCCAGACGATAAACTGGGCAGGATTCTATGTGTCTCGCATGGGTCCTGGCAGGCGGCAGTACTTGGTAATTATTTTTTTAATGAGTGAATGAAGGACTGTGCTTCTGAAGCACTTGTAGAACTTGATAAAAAGAAAGATTAAAAAAGTAACATTTATTGAGCACTTATTCTAAGACTTTGCATGTATTAAATCATTAATCATCAAATCAATGAGCAGAATATTATTATTCCCCTTTATAGATAAGATACTGAGGCACAGAAAGGTTGAGAAATTCGCCCAAGTTCACTGCACTAGTGGCAGAACTATCGGAAATCTAAGCGGCCTCGCTCCAGAGCCTCCACACTCAACCACTGCACCTTACAGCCTCTCAAGATGTCAGCAGCCCGCCCCAGACTGGGAGAACCAGAGTCTCTCGGGCTGGGACCTGGGAATCTGTATTTGAACAAGTTTCACAGGTGACTCTGATGCACAGCCAGAATTCGACCTAAAACTGTGAATCTAAAAATTAGCAGGAAGCCTGGGGCCATATGACTAGAACAAATGAGGCTGCCTCCAGGATTTTAAAGTTCTTCTAATCCTGTGAACATAAGGCCTGCCAAATAATGCTGATTGATTGTATCCCCTTTGTGAGGAGGGAACCCAAGCCCAGATCAATTACAAAGAACCCTCTGGGGCCCTGCGAGCAGAAGGCCAGCTCAGTGGACCTGCCTCAGTGGACCTTTTCCTAAGGGACTCCAGGCACAGGCCACCGTCCTCGGGAGAGCTGGACTGACCGTGTACCTGCCTAGTTCCTGGACTTTGATCTCCCATCTGACCTCCCTCTCGCCCCTGCTCTGATCTGACAACTCCTGCTGGGTTGACCCCATCTCTGACCCCAGCCTGCCCCAGTTTTCAGCCTCACTGCTCCAGACTGATATCTCACATGATGACAGCTCGAGGCAGGACAATATTCGTCTCGGCCGCCAATAATGGGAGCAAGACACCATCTCTGCTAATGATGTAGTGACAAATGGAATATTCCTGTCAAAAGAGCTGTGACTTTCAGAGTGGAATTTAGTTATCTTAAACCAACTCTGCAACCATCACTGGGCATGGGATATAGAAACAGTGAGAAATAAATAGCCCTTGGTACTAACCAGATCGACATTCTTTCATTCGTTGAACAAATGGTTATTGAGAGCAGATTCCATGATGGTTTCTGTGTTAGCCCTGAGGGCAAAAAAGATGAACAAGACATTGTCTCTGGCCCCAAGGAGTTCCCTTAGGCCCAATTCTGCTGTGACATCCAGAGATGATGCTTCAAAGATTAGCCAACGGCTTAGACTAAAGAGAAGAAAGGCTGCAGGATTATATTTTCAGAGAGGGGATGGTTCCAGCTTTGTCTGAGGTTCCAAAGCCCCTCAAGTACTGGACTGGCCTATGGAAGCTTGGGGGGGCTGGTAATGAGCCTCAGAACACAAACACCTTTACAAAACCTAGATCTGGGGCTGGCCTGGTGGCGTGGTGGTTGGGTTCACACTCTGCTTCAGAGACCCGGGGTTCACAGATTCGGATCCCAGGCACAGACCTGCACACCACTCATCAAGCCATGCTGTGGCAGCGTCCCACATACAAAAACTAGAGGAAGATTGGCACAGACGTTAGCTGTTAAGGACAATCTTCCTCAAGCAAAAAGAGGAGGATTGGCAACAGATATTAGCTCAGGGCCAATCTTCCTCACCAAAAAGCATACCAAAAAAAACACACCGAAAACCTAGATCTGTCTGTGCACCAGAGGTTCAGGCCCAGAGAGTGGGTAGACTTCCTGGTAGGCATCAAAGGGCTCAGGATTGGGGCCCGGATGCCCCATTCTGCTCCTGGTTGTATTCTAATTTGATGTGTAATCTTAGACAATCACATTCCCTCTCTGGGCCTCAGTTTCCCCAGACCATTTCTTTTCTGTCTAAACGCCTAGCTCCTTGAAGAATGTTTGATAAATGTTTGTTGAATGGATGAATGAACCTCTGAAGTCCCTTCCAGCTCTGATATTGTGAGTCTGTAAGCTGGAGACATCTTTTTGGCAAAGAATGAGAGTGGCCAAGAATGAAACCTTAGTCCCACACCTGAGGGACCCTGAGTCACACTCCATTATGCAAGTATGATCTGCCCATTGTGGACCACCTCTCCTTTCTCTTTAGGCTAGTCCCTCATTTTCCATCTTCTCTTCTATCCCAAACATATTGTTGTGGGGTTGAATTGTGTCCCCCAGAAAAGTTATGTTCAAGTCCTAACCCCTGGTACTTGTGAAGGTGACCTTATTTGGAGAGAGGGTCTTTGTAGATGTCATCAAGTTAAGATAAGGTCCTACTGGATTAGGGTGGGCCCGCCTCCAATAGGTCTGGTGTTCTTATAAGAAGAGGGAAGTTTGGATGCAGACACACAGGGAGAAGGCCACGTGACAATGGAGACAGAGATTGGAGCGATGCATCCACAAGCCAAGGAATGCCGAGGATTGCTGGCAACCACCCAAAGCTAGGAGAGAGGCATTGAGCAAATTCTCCCTCTGAGCCCCTGAGAAAGAACCAACCCTGCTGACAGCTTGATTTGGGACTTCTGGCCTTCTGAGTCGTGAGAGAATAAATCTGTATTGTTTTAAGCCACCCAGTTTGTGGCATTTTGTTACTGCAGCCCTGGGAAACTGACATACCTATCCAAGGCCATTATTTGGAAACCAGCCCACTGATCCGCGCTCAATGAGCCCTAAGAAAGCACCAGAGCCATGTCATCCCTGCAATGTTCACTGAAGATGAGTCATCGCTGTGCCTGTTGTGGGTCTCTGAAACCAAGAAGCCTGCCTGCCCCATGGGAGAAGGAGGAAGACCTTCCACATGATTATTTAGCAGGAAGAGGATGCTAGGGGGTGGGGTGGAGGGTTGCCAGCTGCTTTTCTCCCCCACTGGGGACAGCCCAAGAAAAAAAGGGGCTTTCATCACTATACGAGGATGTCACAGTCATTTACTTTCCCTCATTCAGTAAATATATGTGGATCATTTACTGTGCTGGGTGCTGTTGGAGAGCATGTGTGTATGGCTGCTGGAGGAATGCTAAAGAAATCTAACACACATTCCCTGAGTTCTATGAGCTAAACTGGATTGCAGGCCTGTGGCATGGTGGGTCATTAGCATGGCCTTGGGAATCAGACAGTCCTGGCTTGAATCCTGGCTCTGCAACTGACTTCCATTGTGATCTTGGACAAGTTACTTAATCCCTCTGGGCCTTTGTCTTATTATAAGTATTAAGTAAGATGATGTATATAGCACAGAGCCGGAGTAAGTGCTCAATAAATGGCAGTTATTTTCACTATTGGAGAACAAGATGCTCCCAGAAACAGCTTAGCAAAAGAGCAAGGTGAGGGGGCCAGCACCGTGGCCAAGTGGTTAAGTTCATGAGCTCCACTTCAGCGGGCCAGGGTTTCGCCAGTTCGAATCCTGGGCGCGGACATGGCACCGCTCATCAGGCCATGCTGAGATGGCATCCCACATGCCACAACTGGAAGGACCCACAACTAAAATTACACAACTATGTACCGGGGGCTTTGGGGAGAAAAAAAGGAAAAATAAAATCTTTAAAAGAGCAAGGTGATTATGGTCAAGCAGGACCTGTCCAGTTCAGGCCCTCATCACATCTTGCCAGACACTATCTAACTGAACGCTCAGAACAACTCTGGGAGGAAGTTAGTCCCCTTTCACAAATAATGTTACCGTGGCTCACAGATGTAAAATAACTTGGCCAAGTTCACAGAACAAGCAATGTGGCAGAGTCAGGATTCAAACTAGAGTTCCCAAGCACATGTTCTTCCTATTCCTGGACAACATTTATTTGCAAGTCAGAGGGAGAGGTGGGCAGCATATGGTTAGGAGAGGGCCTAGAGTGGTTCGCTTAGGCTGTGGTTGCCTCTTAGAAAGTACTTTGTTTGTATTGGACTGATATGTGTCTTTTGTTTAATTAGAAAATACATCTCTAGTGCTTCCTATAGGATGTCCTAAGCACTTTATGTTAGTAATTCATTTAATTCTCACAAGAGGTGGGCACTGGATTATTCCCATTTTGCAAATGTGGGTACTGAGACACAGAGAGGTTAAGCAACTTTCCCAAGGTCACACACAAAATGAGTAGCGTAAGCAGGAACCACACTTGCTTCTTTGGCTCCGAGGACAATACTCTCAACCATTGGTCTATACTACACTATCTTTTGGGGCGGTGGTGGTGTGTTGGCTGTTAAAGTGTGTACACGGCGGGAAGGGGAAGGATTAACACGCACAGCCCACCCTTCGGTGCTATTGCTGCAATAAGACCGTGAGTAATTTGACCCTGTAAGGTGAATGGCAGGATGGGGGCTGTTTAGCCCCCGGATTCTCTGAGTCAACAGCTTCTCATCCCTGGCCCACTTCCTGAAAACTCTTAGCACTCAGCTTTGGAAACCCTTTGAGCACAAAGAGCTCATTTCCTGTGGCTAGGAAGGACGAGATGAGTTCCTGATGACAGCTCATCTCCCTCATTAAGGCACTCATAAAAGTGTTTCAAGGAACCTGACTTATGGCTCCGCAGTTTGTCAAGATCCCCTTCTGCAAGGAGCCGCTCTGGTAATTTGGTGCTAGGAGATGTGCAGGAGAAACCAGCTCCTTTGAGTCCAGGAATTATTTATGATCCTAAGAAGAGACAATGTAATTTGAAGAGATAACAAGCCTTCACCGGCACAACAGGCTGTTTAATACACCATGAGGGATGAGAGGCAGCTTCAGAATTCCAAAGCCAGCTAGGAAACCGTGGGTTGTCTTTTCCTAGGAAAGCTCCTGGGTCAATAACAGCTAACTCTTATGGAAGATTTACCTCCGGGCTAGGGCTCGTGCTAAGTGATTTTATACGTTAATTCATTTAATTCTCACAACATTCCTATCCTATTTTACAAATGAGGAAATTGAGGCACAGAGAGGTTAAATAACTTGCCCAAGGTGACACAGCGAGTGAGTAGGAAAGTCAGGCTTTTAACCCAAGTAGGTCTGCCTCCTCATTTGTACCTTAAACACTAGTCACAGCTCAGGAGGACACTAGGCTTTAAGCTAGCCCGGTAAGGTGAAATGTACATTTATATTCAAAATTATCTTTGATGATCCTTTAAAACGCCTACTGAACTTAGTGAATTTTAGCGAGGCATATGGCCTTGTCTAATAATTAAAGAACCACTGAGCTAAACTAAAGAAAGGAGCAGAAGGAAGGTCTATGTGCAGATGTTTATGCTTTTAAACCAGCCTGCCTTTGGGGAACTCTCAGATCCCCAGGGGTGAAAATGAAGAGGCAGAGAATTATAGAGCATCCTTACCCACCTGCAAGAGTGACTCTATTCTCTTTTACTAGTTAGCCTCTGTGACCTTAATGCATATCACTTGCCACGTGTTATCTGTCTGGGTTAAAAGAGAACATAGTCACAGCTTAAGAGGAAGAGAGAGAAAGTTCCGTTAGAGAAGGGGTTTAAAAGTCCAAGCCTAAATAAAGTGAACCTGATGCAATGAGACTAGCTCTAGAGCCGGATAAACCTGGATTTAAACCCTAAATCTGCTACTTACTAGCTCTGTAACCTTGGGGAATTCGCTTAACTTCCCAAAGCCTCAGTTTCTTAATCTGTAAAATGGTCATAGCAATACTGCCGTGTTGGGAAGATTGAATTTAAAAGTTTTTAAAGTAGTGAGCTTGAGTATAAATCAGAGTAATTAAGCATCAGTTCTTGATAGCTGTTTGCCCTAAGGCAGGTCACATCACCTCTCTGAGCCTCATTTCTCCTCACCTGCAATATGGGCATAACTGTTCTGCCTGCTAACCTCACAGGTCATTGTAAAGAAACACTAAAGCACTATACAAAGTTTGTACGACGATTTTTCTCAGCTGCTTGGTATACCTGGAATTGTGAGGAGGTGCTGGGAGACCCCTGCTGGAGAAAATAACTCAGGAGAGTCCTGGGCCTGAAGTTAGAAATGGGTTCAGATCTCCACGTTTGCCAGTTAGTGTGGCTGTATGACTTTGGGTGAGTGAGCTAACCTCTCTGAGCCTCCGCTTTCCCTTCTATCAAATGGGACTAACAGTACTGACATCACAGGGTTACCCCAAGAACCACATTCTGCAGGAAAGTGTTAGGCACGTGGTAAGCGCTCCATAAATGTTTGCTGAATCTGAATCCTTCCGAGAGGAGCCAAATTCAGCTGCTCTTCTTCCGCGGGATGGGAAAAGGGCGCGAGGTCCGCGCACGCAGCTCAGGTAGGGAAGGTGCTCCGGCGGAGCCGCGGGACTCCAGCGCCTCCCCACTCCCCCGCCCTCCCAGCCGTTGCCATGGCCACCGGTTCAGGCCCGGAGCAGCACCTAGGCGAATTCAGCCCAATCCCCGCCTTTCCAGAGTGACCATTGGCTGGAGAGGCCACGTGACGCGCGCTGGTATGCTAATATAT